CGTCCTTTAAACCTTTGAAGAAGTTGGTATAGGCGACGTCATCAGACAATCCCTGGATTTGGATTCTCATCAGGTTGAACCGCCTGACATAGATACTGAGCCCTTCCTTGTCCCCCTGCTGTATTACCCCCAGATCAAGGCTTGTCTTTTTAGCAGGGATGTTCATTGAGAAGTTGGACGTGAACCAGTATGCCAACGTTCTAAAGTTATTGATGCATCCGGCAGGTAGGTTACCAAACCAACGTTGAGCAATCCCTTTCAACGTTGCCGGGAAGCACCTACACCAAGAGGCATCATCCAGACCCTGCAAATACATCAGGTTGGTGTATGCCAAAAGGTGATCTTCTGGGTTGGTCGTGCCGTCATAGGAACCTACCAACACATTTTTTATTTTTGACGGCTGAGCCATCTCAGTGATTTCCCTGGAGAACGCCGTTAGCTGTTCCCCAAGGTTGAGCAACCGAAGCTGCCAGTCCATAGGCTGGACAGGTGGCGGCTGACCCCCGAATAAGGCCGGCTGTGAGTAAGGAGATCCAAAGGGCATGTATGGTGACCCATGCACTGCCGGTTGGATTATATGAGGGCCGGATCGAGCGGAAACCTCGGTCGACCGACTCTCTTTACTTGTTCACGAGTGCCTCCCTGATGTAATATGGAAGCTGTCTTGAAAGGTCGACGTCGATGCCGACTCGGAGCGTTGCTGATTCTTTTTATCCTGGATGAGAGTTCGAAAATCATAGTACACCTTCTTTGTTCCATCCGGCCGTAGGTACCGGAAGGGTTTTCTGGTCTTCTCCATGGGAATGCAAATTTTTGAGATATCAATGGACCTAACCGACACCTTTGGCTTTGGGTGCGGAGTAGGTGCTCTATCTTTTACTGCCTTGGCTGTCTTTTCCCAAGACGTCTTTCCTCCGCCTGCCCCTTGCGGGGGTTGGCTGATTTATCTAGGAGGCCTTTGATTTCTCCTTTGAAACTCATCATCATATTCATGAGTTCGTCTCTAGAGACAGGAGTGGCTCCTTCTGAAGCAGGGGTTAACCCAAGCGGACCTCTGGTGGGGTGACTAGGGCCCGACTGCAAATCTGCCCTTTCCCTTTTATCTTTGGAACGGGTATGCTTGGTCCTTAAAGAACCATCAGCGGCTGTATAAGTCTCAACCTCATAGTTGTCGGCTGTATCATGGTCCGAGTGGATCTCAGCCTCACCAGCAGGTTGGCTACCTTTCCCCGGCAGTACAGGTTCTGAAGTCATCTAGAAAGTACTCTCCCCACAGACGGCGCCAGATGTTTGGGGGTTTTTTATGTGTCCTACGGGAGAGTTACAATTTTCTAGTATGCTCTTTCCTTCGCCTGTACCTGCACAAATAACGGAGACTCCGACTAGGGGGTGGGAGTTCCGCCTCCGAAGATTAAGTTAGAATCTTTCTTAAAAGAGGTATAAAGAGCAATAAATGCTTCTCGATTGGAGAGCGTTTTGCAATGAGTTTTGTGTTTTATTGGTTGTTGGAAATGTTGATGATTCCCATAAATGAGGTCTGCCCCTACTATTTATAGTAGGGTACAATGACACGTATCGCAAAGGGATTGGGCCTTTGCTGACCGTTGCAAGTTTGACACGTGGAAAGCCTTTATAGGGCCACGTGTCTAGGGTTTTTTTTTTTTACCCTAAACAGGTTTTGTGTTTTGTTGGTTGTTGGAAATGTTGATGATCCCCATAAATGAGGTCTGCCCCTACTATTTATAGTAGGGGAGAGCTGTACCTCAATTAGGGTAATACGTGTCGCAAAGGGATTGGGCCTTTGCTGACCGTTGCAAGTTTGACATGTGGTAAGCCTTTATTGGGCCATGTGTCTAGGGTTTTTTTTTTTTTTTTACCCTAAACAGAAATAATTTGAAATGAAAAACCATTCACAAAACCAATAAGTTTGAAATTTAAAGCATACATGCAAATTTTCAATCTTATTGAGCGTTTTATCCACGCATTAGAATTTGTCCCTTCTAGGCGAGAATAAAACGATACCAAGATCCCAAAAATCAAAAAGTGATTAAGCATGCTTTGGCTTGTCTTAACACTTTTAAGCATTCAAATTGCTAGTAGCTCTAAGCTACTCTTAGTTCGATTAAACGTTGCATCTAATGCTTTCTTGACGTTTTTTCTCCATTGCCACGAAATCTAAGGACTCCTTACTGATATCGTTGAGCTTAACCAAAATCAACTTGTATACATATTATACCTTACGTTCCTAAGGAGATAGTGATGCCTTGCTTTGGCATAGCCCATCACTATTCACATTAGTTCGGTAATTGTTATCTTGGAACGGAAATTTGGCTCAATTTTATAGGGACCTAGGTTTTCTATGTTGGTTGATTTAAGTGAACTTAATTAATCATCGCAACATTCGAAATCCTAAACATGCATCTAACATATCATTCATATATATAAGCATATTTTTATATATAGAAAATACATAAGTAAAAGATGCATTTGGCAACTAGCATGACCCTTTGAGTCTGCAAGCCTTCAAGGGTCTTCGTTGCATCCTCTTGGCTTGTCTTCTTAGAAACGCCGTCTTTGAGACATCTCCACCAATTATGCAACTACTAGTAATTATGACTAGGATTAATCTAAATATTAAGGTACATAAATACGCAACGGTACGCAGACCATATTTAGATTTACAAAAATATATAGTGGATCGCAGTTCGTATTTACTATCCTAATCAGGCCCCACTAGTTGCCATTTTCACAAAACCAGTGATAGAATAGGCATTTCGTTCATCCATTCACTATATGTGAATGACCCATGCATTTTACTACATAAGTCAAGTAACAATGCATAACACACACAAACTAGTAACTAACTTAGGTAGTTAATCCAATTAACGCGCCTAATTAAAACCCAATAAAATTAGCTCAAGTAATTAACGAAGCTCCCACTAAATTCCGTATCCAACTTAATTAAAATTAATTCAATTAATTTAATTAAGCCAGTTTACCCAAATTTTGCCAAATTATTTTGCAAGTGCCGGCAAAAACCGAGGCCTAACCTGGTTATAATAATTAAATAAAATAATTAAATGGCAAAAATTGCAAAATTGTATAGCGCTTCGATGCCAGAGTGCCTAGCACCAAGCCACGAGGCTCGGTTTGCTAGGCCCGAGGCCTGGCTGCCTTGCGTGGTCGTTCCTGCACAACTGCTTGTTGTGCCAAGCACGTGGGAGTGGGTTACGATGTTGCTTGCACGTTACACCTACCACATCAGCGCACTTGCACACACACAAGTCACAGCTCAAAGGCCCTAAGCTAAGCGGGCTTGTGCTGCCTTAATCGCACATCGCAGCAGCCCTCGCAAGCTTCCCGCAACACCAAGTGTGCATCAGCCGCGCATTCGCACCAACTCTCGCACACACACTTCATTGCACCAGCAACCCACATCCCTTGGCAGCCACATGCGGGCTACGCGAGCAGCCCAGCTAGCCGAGGGAACGCTTGGGCTTTTATGCCTCGATTTGCGCGCTTGAGACTTCGGATTTTGTCCCCAAATTCTTGTGACATAAACATTTAATTCTAAATTAATTTTAGAACAAATATTGAGCAAAAATGAAAATAAAATAAGTCCAACTTAAATAAATTCAATTTTTAGTACACAAACCAAAATTAATTCGAGAACCATTCTTTAAATTATTTTTGGCTCAACTTGATGCTACAAAATTGAGGGCTATTATCACAATTAATTTAATCAAACATAAATTAATAATGAGATTTGACAAAATTAAAAGGGTTGGAAAAATAAAAACGATCATCCAATGAAAAATTTCCAACAGTAACTTGTGTAAACTCTAACAATTACATTTTCTAATATGAAGATTAATTAAATTTCAATCACAAGTTTTGAACTTTTAAGACTTTAATCAACTAAAAAATGATTAAATCCAAAAATTAGTTCAACATGGAATTTAGAAAATAAAGTTCCAACCAAATAAACAATTAAAGATTGGATCTTTAACATTTTTAGAGACTTCTAAATTACAAATTCACCATAAACATTCACACGTGAAGCAATTAATTTACAAAAATGTGAAATTGTAAGTTTATGTGAAACATGAACTCACCAAATTAAGCACCAAATATGACTTCAAAAACATGCAATAATAACGAGTAAGGGTTATCATTGCAGTTGATTAATGGTGTAACCATACACATTATCTAACATTAACATGCCATAATTAATCAAGGTTTAAGGATTTAAAATTTTTCATCAAAAACGAAAAAACCCCTCGAAAAACTTGTTTTTGGGTGGATTTTGGCTTCTGAACAACACTTTAAACGAGTCAAAACTAATATAGAACATCGATTCCACCCAAAATTCACTACTTTTGGGTCAAAATCTGGGTTCTTGAGCAAAAATTAGTATATATACGAGATTAAAACTAATTAAAACGAGCTTCTAATCTAATTAGAAAGGAAAACAAAATCCGCAGTTGGGTTTCGTAGTGTCCAACACTACACGGAATGAAACCCTCCTAAAATCCGCACACAAATTAAAGTAACTAAACATGCATATTAATTAATTACCAATCACATAATTAATTAACAAGGAGAGAAAAAGAAGAAAAGGCGATCTTACCCTTAATAAGAGCTTCGTTCTTTCTGAGAGCTCGTACTTGAAAGCGTAAAGCTCCGCAAATGCGCAAGCCTTCGACGGCTCTCACCCTCGAGACCCGACCCGAACAACCCCTACCTCGAAGCTTAGTCGAGGCTAGACCAAAAGAACTTAGAGTATTAGAACTAAGGTATTCTCTTTTTGAGATCCCTTAAAGTTCACAACTCAAGTGTCTCTTCCCAATGCCAAATGATTGGTATTTATAGGGAACAAAGCTCTTGAATTCCAAGCTCCCATCAATGTGGGAGAGTTGGTAAAATCACTAATAGAAAAACATAAATGAGCACCGCAAAAAACCGGTGCGAAAAAAAATAGGTGAGACTGAAGGAAAGAGTATCGCACCGGTTCAAACCAAACCGGTGCGAAGATGGGTAAATCGCACCGGTGCGAATGCTATTGTATAAAACAATAAAAAAAATCGGGCCTTTATCTTCTCTCTCTCTTTCTGAGCTAATTTCTTCTTTCTTTCTCAATTCACTCTCCTTTTTTCTGAGCTCATTCCCTTCAATACTCAGCAACCCACACCAAGGATTCAACTCACTCACATCGCAGCCAGTTCGGGTTGCCGCCGATTCGAGCTTTGCTTTTCCTCTTTCGTGGTTCCTCTCCAACCTCTCCATTCAGGTGACTGTGTTGTGATGTGCTCCTGCTCTGCCTCTCGATTTCCCAGCAAAGCCCTACTCCGCCCACTATTTCCTTGCTGACTGCTGGATCTCAAGCCTTAGCCAGCGATACCTTTACTCAGATCTAACAACGATGGACTTCTATCACCCACAAATCCGATACTGGATACTCTAATAAGGTCGGTACGTGGGTTTTGCTGAGTTTTTTTTTTTTTTTTTTTTTTTTTTTTTTTTTTTTTTTCTGAAACCATTTGGGTAAAATCTCTGGAATTGTGGTTTTTTTTTTTTGTTGAATTATTGTGTTGGGAAGAAATTTATTTGTTAAGTAGGTATTTTGTGCCTTTTATGGGATTTTGTTGAATTTATGGGCTTTCTATCTCTTATTTGCTTTGATTTGAAATTACGGCGAAAACTGCAAAAATTTGATCTGAAATTTGATCGAGTTTGGGTACGGTTGGTGTTGATTTTGCGTCTGTGCAGTGGGTTTGCATGTGAAGATCTGAATTGTTTCTTCCCTTTGTCATTGTTTCGATTGGATTATCATTGTTTCTTGTGATTTTGTGCTCTAATTTTAATGGTTTTAGGGTTATTAGGTTCGAATATTATTATTATTACAGTATTTTAACCACTCTAAATGATCATAAGGTAATTGAAATAATTCAAAATTGGAATGAAGTTCAATCAGAACAATAAAACTTGCTTGTGAATTGGTGCCCTATTTTGTTTGTAATGGTTTTGTGAGTATAGTAGTATCTAATGTGATTTTGTTAATAATTTTGGATGTAAATTCATATGATTATGGGGGCTACAACGCACTTGCTTGTGAGTTGGAGCTGCTGTGATGTGTGGTGTGATTGTGTGTTGGTGTGGAGGCTGTCTTGTTGCTTAAATTGAAATTACAGGCTGCTGTGTGTGAGGAGCAGAGTAGGGTCAGTGAGGGAGTTGTGTAACTGTGTTTCGTCTATTTTATTTGATTCATATGCCACGTATCTCTGCACACATGCCATGTATTTTATTTGAGATGTTAACTGGGTTGCGAGCAGTTGATTTAATATAGCTGTTTGTGCTTTTTATTTACTTTTGTACAGCATGTTAACTATTGCTGTTTAGTATATCAAACCTTAATTTGTAATCCACTTTGATGAATTTCTGATCCCTATTTAGTCTTATCATCGTGGAATATGGTGAAACTTTCTTTTCTTTATAAAGAATTATTTGATTTGTTATTTATGTCACTTTGTAGGATGTTCCAGCTGATCAATCATGAGACGAGCAATCGGTGGAAGAAGATGAGGGCTGTGATCATTCATATGTCCTCAAAGATGATATTGGCTATGTGTGCCAAGTATGCGGAGTCATTCAGAGGGCTATTGAGACTATATTTGATTTCCAGTACATAAAGGTTTCAAATAGTTTTAATATTTTTTTCATTTCTAATCACTTATATATCTATATGAAGCTAGATCTTTTCTCTTTACTGTTTGATGTATGGATGACTATGAGTCTGATTTTGTCCTTGATTACTCAAGCTGTTACTTCACTGGACACTTTTGTGGTTATTTGATCAAATTTAGTTTGTTGGGCACTCAACAAGAACTTTGATTTGATGATTTAGTCCATTAAACGTGTCTATAATTCAAATATTGCCTGCTTTTGAGACAAATCTCTAGTTAAAACGACAATTGAGTTAAAGGAAGAGACTATTGTGTCTGTAATTTGTTTATCTATAGTTTTTGGGATGTAGAGATTTAGTTATAGTAACATTAGTAAGCCAAAAAATCTTTTGGAGTTTCTCATTAGTCCCTTGGGGAAATATCTGAGAGATAATTTTGTAACTCCTTGGTCAGATGGGTTGGTGATTATGTATTGACAAGAAACACTTTCAATTCTTAAGTTTAAGTGTATTTAGCAGTATCCAATTGCATTTTATAATTGGTTAAATTGTAGAACAGAACATTATGTCATCCTACAGTTCTACAAAATCTTGTTTTGGCTGAAGATATGTGATTGTTAGAATCCTACACTCAAATCGTGACACATATAGTAATAAATATGGTATTTATCTTGACTATCTACACCTCTACATTCTTAAAGTTTACTGGATCAATTTGCGATCTTAATACTTGAATTTTTCTGTGCGGATGTTACTTTGATGGATTAAGTATCTGTGGTTGTTAACTGTATATGACATTTTGACATAGGCATGGAGGCACTTATTTTGAAACTTTCAGTTTATGCTAATGCAAAGCCTGACACCTGGCGGGACACGGGACACGGGACACATACCTGTGTCAGACGAAATTCATCTATGATAACTGATCAATTCCTTTTTTGATTTTATATTAAAACATTTTACAGCTCTATGGTGGTGTCTGTCAGTATCAATATAATCATATTGGCTTCTGTTTTCTGGATTGGTGTTCTGCTAAAAGTTCTTATGCCTTGTACTTATGAAATGGTGCCATTTGCTTTTCATGACACTCATATAAACTTCTCTTTACATCAGGCTGCTCGGGTGAGAAGTTACAGGTCTGATTCTTGTTCTAACAGAGAGAATGATGACACCGACTTCATCTGGGATTAAGCTGCCTGGACATGATTTGGCCATGACTGAAACCTCTGCTCATCCTAGGCATTAAAAGCAATTGAAAGGAGGGAATGTTGAGAGCAAATTTTTTGATCTTGTTGAATACACCCTTCAGCAGGATGAAGACTGGAAAAGAAAGGAGGCTGTCATCAAAGATCTGAGGGAGATGACAAGCAAGGTATTGCACTACTACAGGGGTGACTTCTTGGATGATCTTCCTGGACTTGTAGACTTCACTGTTGTTCTCAGTCTGATTGAAGTTGATAAGATGAATAAGAGGGAAAAAACAAAATTCAGGAAAACCTCATTGGGTTGTGCAGTCTACACTCACCCAAAGCTCAAACTTTTTTCAGACAATAATCCTGGTTTTGAAAAACGTTTATTTGTGTGTAACCTTATATTTTATTTTATTGGATGAAAATTGTAATTACAGCTTTTTTAATGAAAATATGTAACTTTATATATATGTTAGTGTTTATATATCAATTTAAGTGTAAATAATGCAAATAATTTTTTTTTTGTTTTTGTTTTTGGGGCATTAAGGGCACCGATTTTGGCATCGAACCGGTGCCAATTGTTTTTTTAATAGTTTTGGGCCATTTAGGGCACCGGTTTTGAACCCGAATCGGTGTCAATTGTTCTTAAATACCAAAAAAAAAAAAATATGTGACAGTGTTTTTAGCACCGGTTAACCGGTGCTAAAACTAAGAATTGCCACCGGTTTTAAATCGGTGCTAAAGTTTTTTTTTTTTGGCATCCCTCAAATCTAAACCGGTTGAAACCGATGCTAAAGGGGGGTTTTGAACCGATGCGCATTTCATACTTTCTACTAGTGAATGCATTTATTCAATTGAATTTTAATTCAAAAATTAAATTAAAATGCAAATGAATCAACAAATGACAAGTTTCAAGTGGTGAGCAAGGGGTTAGGTGAGGACCACAAGGGGGGGGGGACCACCCTACCCTTGCTACCCAAGCAAACCCTCACACACATGCTCTCGCACGCACAACCAATAACACGCAAGAGCTGCCACACGCACAAGCTGTGGCTGGCATTGGCGCAAGGCCTAGTTGGCTGCCAGCCTTGCTGTGTGGCACAGCTAGCACACGCACAGGCCAGCTTGCGGGCTGGGCCTCGTGCCGTGCGGTATTGCTGCACGCATGGCCTAGCATGCTAGCTAGACCCTCATTGCCCCACAAGGTAGCTGCTGCCACGCCCTTGCTGGCCCAGCTATGCGAGCTGGTGCTAGGTTGCGTGCGCCTAGGCGCACCAGCCCCGCAAGCATGCTTAGCCAGGAAGCCTAGCACACGCATGCATGCTTGGCTTGCGGCACACCCATGCATTGCGGTTGGTGCCTTATGCTAGCCTAGCCTTCGCATGGCTAGGCCAATGCGAAGCTACGACTTAGCTTAAATTTGTCGTTAGCTTGATATCTCGTCTCATCGAATTCCAAATTCGACTCGACTTGCGACGCTCGGTTTTGACGCTCTAAGCTCGATATCCGACGTCTTTGTTCGTAATACTCTATTGACTCATTTAATCCTTTAGATTAATTCGTCGTTTCGATTCAGTTACTCGATTGGGTGTGACCGGCAAGGTTTAGTCAAGATTAAGCTGTAATATTAGTTATGCATTAATATTACTGATCGGAAGCGGCCTCCAGCTAAGCATTCCGATCACTTGGCCTCACTGAATAATTAGCTTTCTAATAATTCTGAACCCTTTATTGGAATAATACACTTGTTCAAAGGACACTATTCCTTTCATCTGCCACATTTCAAAGATGTATGATGTCAATCTTTAGTGGTATGACTGAGGATGAGATAGAGGTCTTTATGGATGATTTCTCCGTTAGGGGAACCGCCTATGAAGATTGTCTATCCAATTTATCTCGTTGCTTGGAAAGATGTGAGAGGGCTAACCTCGTGTTAAATTAGGAAAAGTGCCATTTTATGGTAGAGAGTGGAATTGTTCTTGGGCACAAAGTCTCCTATGCCGGCATCGAGGTGGATAGAGCCAAGGTGGAGGTCATTGAGAAACTCCCTCGCCCTACAAATGTAAAGGAAGTGAGGTCCGTTCTTGGCCACCCCGGGTTCTATCGTCGTTTTATTTCTTTGATTGCTAAGCCACTCACATCTCTCTTGTAACAGGATAAAGAATTTGTCTTTGATGAAGCTTGTCATGAGTCATTTTGTAGGTTGAAAAAGGCTCTTTGCACCGCCCCCATAGTCCAAGGACCGGATTGGTCTCTACCGTTGGAGCCAATGTGTGATGCCAGTGACGAGGCCATTGGATCGGTCTTAGGACAAAGAAAGGATGGGAAACTTCACGTTATTCACTACTTGTCCAAGACTCTCAACGATGCTCAACGGAATTATACAACTATCGAGAAGAAGTTCTTGGCGGTTATTCACTCATTTGTGAAATTTAGAACCTACCTCATTGGTTCTAGGACAATAGTGTATACTGATCACTCGGCTCTCAAATATTTGATAAGCAAGAAGGAGGATAAACCGAGGTTGTTGAGATGGGTTTTGGTCCTTCAAGACTTTGATTACAAAATGAGAGATAAGAAGGGAGCCAAAAACGTGGTGGTGGAACACCTTTCTAGGTTGGGAGGTGCAAGAATACATGAAGACGATTTTCTAATTGAAGATACCCTAATGGATGATGTCTTATATGCTCTTGAGGCAAAATCGAAGCCTTGGTATGCGGATATTGTGAACTACTTGGCTTTTAGTGCCATACCTCCGGATTTCACTCATCAACAACGTCGAAGGCTCAAGAATGAAGCAAAGAGGTATATATGGCATGACCCCATTTTGTTAAAGAGAGGGGTTGATTGTTTATTTAGAAGATGCGTCCCCAATGATGAGTTTCAAAGTGTTCTTCATATGTGCCATTCCTATCCTTGTGTTTGTCATATGAGTGCTCAAAAGACCGTTTCAAAGGTTTTGCAAAGCATGCTCCTTTGGCCTTCTCTATTTAAAGACGCTTGACAATTTGTCAAAACATGTGATAGGTGTCAAAGGGCGGGGAACATCTCTAGGAGGGATGAAATGCCTCAAACCCTAATCCTTGAGCTTGAAGTTTTCGATGTTTGGGCAATAGACTTCATGGGGCCCTTCATATCTTCTCATTGGAACAAATACATCTTGGTAGCCGTAGATTATGTTTCGAAATGGGCGGAAGTCGTGGCTTCTCCTACAAATGATTCCAAGGTTGTTGTGAACTTATTTAAAAAGGTGATCTTTCCGAGGTTTGGTGTCCCTAGGGCTATCATTAGTGATGGGGGGTCACATTTCAAGCATCACACTTTCACTAGACTTCTCGATAAGTATGGTGTATCTCACAAACGAGGGCTTTCTTACCACCCTCAAACAAGTGGTCAAGCGGAGATAACCAATAGGGAGCTTAAGGTCATCTTGGAAAAGACGGTGGCAAGAACAAGAAAGGATGATTGGTCCTCCAAGCTCATTAACTCTTTGTGGGCTTATAGGACCGCCTTCAAGACCCCTATAGGGACTACTCCCTATAAGCTTGTTTATGGGAAGAATTTCCATTTACCCGTGGGGATGGAGCACCGAACGCATTGGGAAATCAAGCAAATTAAGTTGATCTCCATCTTGCGGGTGAGCAAAGGCTTCTAGAGCTTCACGAGTTGGAAGAGTTAAGAATGAATGCTTATGATAGTGCAAGCATATACAAAGTAAGGACCAAGGCTTGGCACGTTGCTCAAATTGTCAAGAAGGAATTTGTCAAAGGCCAAAAGGTTCTCCTTTACAACTCTCGCTTGAAGCTTTTTCCGGGCAAGCTAAGATCAAGATAGAGTGGGCCATTCGTCATCACAAAAGTGTTTCCCTATGGTGCTTTCGAGATTTCTAATGAAGCGTACCCTCCATTCAAAGTGAATGGGCACCGCCTAAAGCCTTATTATGAAGATCACCCCATCGACAAGCCGGTTTCTACTATCCTCATTGATGTACATCACGCATTTGATCCTCCTTGATTTGACTCAAGGAGCGTCGAGCTAACGACGTAAACCAAAAGCGCTTCCGGGAGGCAACCCGAGTTTCTAACCCTCTTCTACTCATCAGTTTTCTTGATGTTTTACTTCGTCTTTCTACAACTTTGGATTGATGGTTTTGTGTGTATTTGGTTTGTGTTGGTGTTCTTGTTTGTCTTGGCTTCAAAGGGAATGCATTTTTCCATGTTCATTTGGCATGATTGTGTGGTATTTTAATGTGTTTTGATGAGAAGTTTTGTGCAAATTTTGAAGAATTAAGGATTTTGGGGTAATTCGATCGAACTCCATATAGCTTCGGCCCTACTTTTCAAAAGTTTGACCGAACCTCACAAGAGTTCGGCCGCTCCTGCTCTAGAATTGAAATTGGGTTGCAATCTGATTGTTTTTGTAAAAACTAGATGGTTCAACCGAACTCCTTATAGATTCGGTTAAATTTTTGGAAAAGTTTGACCGAACCATCTGGAGTTCAGCCGCTCCTATTTTGGAAATAAAAATGGATTGCAATCTGCCAGATTTTCGGAAATTTGGATGTTCGACCAAACTTTTCAAAAGTTTGGTCGAACCTGTGAACGTCTGACCGAACTTCTTCATAGTTTGGCCGAACCTTTGTCGCGCTGCTCCCAGTTTAAAAAAAAAAGAAAGAGAGCAGCATCTTCTTCATTTTCCCCCTTTTATTTTCGGCACTTTCTTTCTCTTCTCTTCTCCTTCTCACTCTAAAACTCCATTGTCACCCCTCCTCCAACTTTAAATCACCATAAAAATCACTCCAATCTCCCTCTTTCTTACTTATTTTTCATCCACTACTCAATTTCTACAATCTCTTCAATTTTTCCCCGATTTCTAGGGTTTGAGTGACTTGAAAGTTTTGGATTTCTACTTGCTTCCAATTAATTGTGGTATGGTTATTCTATCTCACTACTAGAAATAGGTCGTTTTTCGACGGGATCGTTCCGACAGACCTACAATTCCGTCAGAAATTTCGAATTTTTCGATAAATTTGGATCCGTCAGAATATTCCGTTGGAAAAGGTACCTGATGGAAGTTCCCTCGGAAATATTCCGACGGATTTAAATTCTGTTAGAACTAAATGCTTCCGATGGAATATTCTCTCGGAAAATAGCTTTCGACGGAATATTCCGTCGAAAGCATTTAATTTCGACGAAATTTATTTCCGCTGGAACAGGTTAAAACAACATAGGATCCAACATTGTTATTCACGAAACTAGGAACAGAGGAGAGAGAAAAAAAGAACGGGAGAAAGAGAAAGAGAAAGACAAAGAGAAAGAGGAAGAAAGAGGAAAAGCGCTCCCAGTTTTGCCGCCACCGCCGGGTTCCACGCACCGCCCTGGCCGCCGTTTGGTAGGCGAAGTTAGTTTTGTGACTTTTTTTTCTGGATCTCTAACCCTCACCACCGCCGTTTCCGCAGCCACCGCCGATCACCGCTGCCACTAAAGCAAGGTTCGGCCGAACACCGGTGGTTA